TATACAGAAGAGTAAGTTGTAAATTAGCAAGTAATAGTGATTGATGCTTTATATTGCAGGATCTAATTGGTCTACAGTATCTCAACAAGACGGAAAGAATACATTTCCTTAGTTATCCAGGGGCTCATCTTCAGTTTAGTTTTGAGTGGTTCAAATCAAACATATTTCCATATATCAACAGAACATTTGATAATGTTAGATCACCGTTAAGGCTATAATTAACAATACTGTACCTTGTTTTCATCATTTTTTACAGATAATACACATACCGTCTATATATCTGGAAATTTTTACTGTGATTTTATTTGTACTGAATTAGAATTTCGCAAAAAATTAGATCACCCATATAATTACATGCCAAATCAATAATACATGACACAGTCTTATTTAGTATAAAATTAAATCACAGCACAATTTTAAAACACAAAAATTTTCTACTACACTAATTTCCTGATCTACGGTATAACCATTATACTATAATTATTCAAAGCCTGAAGTAACAGTCAGACATCAGATATTGTTGAATTATTTGACCAAATTTGTGTTGTTCTACCATTTTTGTCTGAACAACATAATTTTTGAAATAATTTACAAATTCCAATTATTCCATACTAACCACAAGAAATTGTCCCTCGCAACTTAACCACGAATCTGAGGCTAGACTCGGCTATATCCAACATAGATCCCAAGGACCCAAACTGAAGTTTATAATAACTCAGAGGCGTATTTAGGGGGGGGCTGAGGGGGCTTGAGCACCCCCCTCAGGGCTGGGCTCAGAAAAAATTACTGAACTCCTGGACTCTTGCAACACTACCAAGCCTCTTAACAAAGTTATCTAGCCCCCTGATCATGATTTCAGCAGTTTCCAGTGCTTTAAGGAGCAATCAGAAGTACCAGTAACAGCAGTATGCTTGAAATAATCTTGGGCCCACCCGTAATTGACGAAAATGCAGGAAAAGGCCGTTTACCGCCGTAAAAGTGGGTGTGGCCAAAATCGCGGCGCGCTTCGCGCGCCCTCAACACCCCCCTTCTCTAATTCCTAGATACGCCCCTGTAACTCGTGCCCAAACTGTTCCTTGACTGGCTTGACTTCAGAGCTTGATTAAGGCCTCTTTTGATCCCGCCTAAAGTAAAGCAAGTTAAGCAGCTAGGTCTTTGCTGTTCAGTGTTATAGTCTTGTTCTGAGGCCAGACCTGGCCTTGGGGTAGCTTCTTCATGGCCACTAGTCAAATTTGTTTAGGTACACTGAGTTGATGATTGATGTGAAATCAGCCATTTTGATTTTGTTTTGTAGGTGTTGATGATCTTGTTGATGTTCTTGATTTATTAAAGAGATGTGGTTTTCCTAAAGCAAATTGGTATGACCTTGGACTGAGACTAGGACTAAAGAAGAGTACTCTTGATGTCATAGAAAAGAATCATCCTCATGATGTATCTCGCTGTATGACAGAGTGCCTCTCCCAATGGTTAGGTAGAGCTGATAATGTTGACAGTAGAGGAGGAGCCAACTTGGACTCACTGTCAGATGCTCTACGATCTATGAATGAAACTGCTGTAGCTGAGAAGTTAAGTGAGTCAGTCATAACTGTATGTAACTATAATCATTGTATTTTCTACCATAGAACATCAGGTTTTTATTAATATTTTCAATAATCGTCATACTGTCCTGTCTGAGTCTCTTTGTGATTCTGTTAGTATTGCTTGGTTACTTTATGCTGAGCATATGTTAACACAAGAAGCAGTTAGTAGAGTGGTGTCAGCTAGTCCCTCTATTCCTAATCAACGTGAGGCTCTATTGACTGCTGTCAAAGAAGCTGTTCAAACTGATCCCAACAGTTTACATACATTTGCTAATGTATTGTGTACCATCAGTACTAATGTATCACTGGGACAAACTATACTGGATGATATTAGTGAGTGATCACCGGCCACTTTAATTATATTCATAGTTCATAGTAAATTCCAATGGTTGGGTTAGATTATAGTGTCCTAATTAAAATTATAATTACTGTTGCTGTTCAGTGTATCCTAACTAATGACAATTGTTTATGTGTTTAGGTAAGTATTTTCCTACTCCTGAAGTGGGTTTGGTTCCTGAGACTATTGAAGATCATGATGATGTAGTTCCACTAGGTAATTATTAATGATAATTGTTTACTGTATTAATATTTGTAGGTAGTTCTGATACTGAAGTTACTAGTAATCCATCATCATCTGATTCATCTCAAGGTTGTTGATATACATGTACATGTCATTTATTATTTTTAATTATTAGAAATTTTAGTGAAAATTTCTGTTCCGAAACGTTTCTTTGTGGAGTATAGCTCAATAAAAGCTTCTTACACAAGGATGTTGTATAATGTTTGCAAGTTTTTAAAGAAGAAATTAGATGTGGATGACATCAAAGAATTCCTCTCTTGTTACAGCACTTCTCTCAGTAAAAAAGTAGAGCAGTGTTCAGATGTTTCCAGCATCCTTCGTCATGTTAAAGATGAGTGTTCACTGACTAACATTGAACTACTTCGTAGTGTAGTGGAAGAAATGGAGATCACTGAAGCAGATAAACACATTAAAGCATATAAAACAGAGTTGAAAGAATTTTACAAATCAATTCCAATTACTCTTTGTCTTGAAAAAAGATTCGATTCCATTTCTTACCTTCAATGTGAATCAGTTACCCTTGTCTTTGACTGGAAGCCCGAGGAACATGTCCTGGAAGAAATTAAGGACATTTTATCAGAAGTGTCTGGTAAGCTTTTGAAGATTAAATATATAGAGCCTTCAGAATCAATATGTGTCAGTTGCTCCTTTCCTTTCTCTGATGTTGGGTTTACTGTATTGAGGATGATAGAGAACATTCATATACTAATGGGACAAGGATTAAAGAAACTGACTATTGGTAACTTAACATTATGGAGGAGACAAGATGTTAGACAAAAGGTACATAATATGAATAATTGAATATTGTTTAATGAATATTGTATTGTATAGGAACTAAAAGGAATGGATCAAGACTTACTACAATATACTGAGGTCAGTTAATATAATCATTCCTTTTATTAGTTAGACTATAGTACTGTACAATGTAACAATGTGTTCAGTTGATTGTAATGTGTTAATTATATGTACAGGTTATTTCTTATATTATACTTGAAGAAGCTGAATATAAACTAAGAAATGCTATCAGTAGCAAAGAGAAGGTATGTCATACTGTGTAATGTATCAGTGAAATTACCAGTTTATAGTATAAATACTGATCATTTCTCTTGACATTGAACTATAATGTATCATGTATTATAATAGCATATAATAACTAGTAATATTCTAATTTTTGCACCTTATAATTAGGAAGTAGTTGAATTACAACAAGTACTAGAGGGAAAACCTCTTTATGAAGAATTGACTGTATTAAGGTCTCAGTTTAATGAGATACAAAAGGAAAACAAAGAATTGTCAGACAAATTATCAAAAATGAAGGTTGAGTATTTGAGATCACTTACTAGTAATACTGACTCAGGTTAGAGTAATTTTATTAATTATACTAATAATTATATAATTAATTAAAGCTTTTAGCAAAGTGAGAAGAGGAATGTCTTTTGAAATTGATGACTGCAAATTTCATCTTGAAGCAATGACCAGGCCAGACTATCAGCCATTAGTAGATAATAAAAGAATAATAGAGAAATTACAAGAAAGAATAAGATTAATGAATATGGAACTAATGACTGAAAGAGAACACAATGAGAAAATTATAAATGATATTAAAGGTTTTATTGATAATTTGTGTCATCATTTGACTGTTGATATTGTATAGATTTGAAAGAGATTGAGGAGAAAAGACAGAGAGAAAAGAAACAAAAAATGATTGGAAAAGAAATGTGTGAAGTAAGAATGAGACAGACTAGAAGTATTATGCTAGATTTATTTCCTTTTATTTTAGATTATATTATTTTGTAATCATCCTGTTACTGGCGAATTAATGGATTTATTACTTAAAGTTCATAAAGATGAATTACTACCCAGTGTACTGGATAAAGCTTATGAGGTTTAGCATTTTTACTGAGTTTATTTATTCTTTCTCTTTGTTCATTTCTTTATCAGTTAATGGAATTTGCTCCTCATATTCCTATTAAGAGATGTCGTTTAGTTAAATATAATTTCTGGAATGAAGTAATGGAACAGTCCTTTGATGAGGTAAGTTTATCTATTTTATTGTTACAACTATCTTATTATCAAATTTAGTTTCAACATCAAACTATTGGACTGATAGTAGGTAGGGCTGGAAATTATTCCTTATTCTTAGAAACTCGTAAAGAAAATGAAACCTTTAAGAAATACAATGATGGAGGTGGGTGTGGTTTGTTACCATGACAACACTTCTGATTACATGTACATGTGTTTGATGGTGTAGGTGTTAATCTAAAGGTATCAGTGGTTGATCTGTCAACTGGTGAAGTAGGACCAGCTGTACCAATGAGAGGAGAGCTAGGTTGGACTGTTGAAGAATTAAAACAACATATAGGAGACGTAAGAGGAAGAATGTACTGTCATTTATATTGATCTCCTTCCATTGATCTGGTCCATTTTCTTTATTTAGTTATTTAATATCAAATCATCATGTATGAGAATAGTAAAGGAGGAGCCTGAGGATTACTGGAGTGATAGTTCAGTCCGTGATATTAGTGATGTAGGAGGCACTCTAAGAGGGATACCCATCAGTATATACAATCAAGTAATGAGATCATTGGTGTGGTTATATTTTTGTGACCAATCTGCCTTTAATTCCTGCTAGGCAATATTTCACCTCATACAGTAGTTAACTATTTAATTATTTTATACTACCGTAGAGCGATTTATATTCATGACTGCTAATATTCACGAATTTTTCCCGCCGCTAGCAATTGCCATAGCAACTGGATGCTATTTTAATTGAAAACGGTGCAGTATTGAAGCACAGGACCAGGCTGCAGTGTTCTTCAGTTGTTATTCTTCTTGCTATTACTAATCCTTGGTCTCTTTGAAGCTGCTTTAGCCAGTTCTTTTAGAAAGACTCTACTCACTCTCCCTCGCCGTGTCTTGGGACTCTCCACTCATTCTAGTTAGTGTTTTATTAACTTGGGTGTGGTTTATATTATAATCATGACCGACCGACCAGCACTGATTTTGCAGCAAAGAGCTTGAAGGTAGCAGTCCATCTATACAAGAAGATAGCAGATAGAGAACTGGAGTCTGGATGG